TTGCTCATTTTCCTTTTTTTATATATTTTCTCAAATTCCACAGCATAAAGTTCACATCCATTTTGTTTAATCTAATTAGAGTGAAATCAGGGATCCATATGATGGATGAGATAACTGATGCTATGGTATGTGAACGACATATACTCAAGGTCATGTTGAGCATATAAGAATTATGATTTATTTCATACAATACATCTTCTATTGAATTAGAATTATTATTATTAGCTGAGTGAAGCGAGTTTATTACACATGAATGGAAGATGATATGCATGGATTATCATACGAGAGGTATGGTAGGGGGGATGAGGTTGGGTTTAAGCTTTCAATTATTTTTATTATTTTGCACGATTGAAGACAATTTTTATGCAAATTATTTGAATTTTTATTTTATTTCTTCTTTGTTGATGTATTTGATTGGTTCCTTTTGAAGGAGTTGAGCATTTAAGTGACTTAGTGGTATCTAAAAATTCAAAATCTCTTTTAGAATTAAGCCAAAGGCTCTATAAACTTGAGCTTTTAAGCTTCAAGTGATGTAGCCAAAGTTATACTTCCTAGTCATCACCTTAATGTCATTCTTAAGGTACACATCAAAGGTATACCGAGTAACCTAACCAAGAAAAGCTCTTCCTTCACATTTGCAAACAAAGTACCTCTTAGTAAGTGTCAACCAACCCAAAATACGTCGTCGTCGTAAAATAAACCTTAAAGCAATAAATGCTGAATAAGTAGGACGAAAAACATGCTCAATTCATCATTAACGTAAACTTTTTTGATTAATATATCAAAATACATCAGTATCATTAAGCATATAAGAAGCAAATGTCAAAAGCTATAGGCTACAACCATTATAATAAACGAATTTTTAAAAGGAAGTACTAAGTGACAAGAGTATCATATTGAGCTCTTCTGTTTATTTTTGTTAACTGAATGTCAAATTTTTCTGTTGTTATCTTGGAAATTTGTGTAGGATTGACATCAAAGTGAGCAAGAACAAGGACTTGGAATGAGTTTCAGTAGGTTTATTTTGAATTTTTGATTTTAATTATTTATTGGAGCATTGAGAGGATTTTTGGAGGTCTAGATTGAATCTATAGTTTTAGAGGTAGTCTGGAAATCATGAGAGTGGATGTTTGGAGTTACTTAACTTCAACTAACAGCATAAGCCGACTTGAATTGACTTGGACATCACCTAATCGACTTTCCATTCTGTAAAATTCATCCTAATTCGATCTATACATTGAACCTAATCCTGATGAGCTCTTATTCCTTTCGCATCATAAAATTCCAACTCTTAAAAATATTTAATCATCAATTTATCATTCATAACTTCTTCAAACGAATCAAAACATCAAAAAACCTCAATAATCAATTTAATTCATCCATACCAAGCTACCAATAACTCAATCCTATTGCCACATATCCCAAAAAAAATTTCCCCAAAAAGCAAACAAAACATTTCCTTTTACCAAAAAAAAATATATATAATTAGCTCAACTCGTAGCGATTTCTTACAAATGAAATAAAGATTCGTGCTCGCATGAAATTCCATAAAACCAAAAAATGTAATCAAAATTCTACTCCACAATTCTCATTTGAATAATTTTGCTTTCTCATTTTTATTTGAAGAATTTTTTTTTTTCAATTTTCATTTTCCTCATCTTTATGAGATATGTGTGTATACAAATATATATGCTATGCCTCAATCTATTCATCTAATAATATATGAATGTGAAGGATGAGTTTTCAGATAGATAAATTCGCAAAAAAATTTGTTTGTTTCTTCTTCTGTGTGTGGTTCTGAAGGAATTTTTACAAAACGGAAAGAAAATTTTATAATCGAATGCAAAAACCACCTTTTTTTGCAAAATCTTTGGAGATATGAAATGAGAATGGAAACTTTTTTCTTGTTGTGGCTTATGAAATTTAATTTTGTTTATCATCACATGATGGAATTGAGGGAGATTTTTATTGTTATCTTTATATAGTATTAGACAGAGCTCGAAGTCGACTGGAGATTTTCATCGACTTCGAGCTCTGTTATTAGAGAGCTTAGATTGCTCATAGCTATATTTTGAGAATTATTTGATGGTTGGGCTAGAAGATTTGCTACAAAAATGTAAAATTTACCAATTTCGTATCGATTTTTTAATAGCTAGAGGATTAACAGTGACAAATATCCAGCTGTCTTCCAAAAATTTATAAAGTTCTAAGAAAATATTGTAAATATCTAAATTTGTTAAGGTTCAAGTCCTTATAAGGATTTATTTAATTATCACAAAACATGCAGTCTTTTTTTGAATTGTCTTTAAACTTTTTGGCTTAAGAGGTGGAAGTTGTAAATATTTTAGAGTGACTTAATAAGTGAACGTCCCAAACTACGCTAAGAATTATTTTTCAGATTTAGTTGTTTAATTGAACACTTATTTCATTTCAGTCTAAAGGTTTTTACTACTAAATTTTAAAAAGTTGGCATTTCTCGCAACAGAAAAAGGTTCAAATCCTAATATCTAATAATATTAAAAATTAATGTAAAACGATTTAACGAGATCTCTTGTTCACTCCTTTTTAAAGAAATAAATGCTTAATCATCCCAAACCCAAAGCCCCTATTGACACTCAAAATCATCAACACAAACTTATTTTTTATCATCCATTCTCACTTGATTATTATTGCAAGATAGAAGACAGTACACATTGAATTTGAAAAAAAAAAACTAGTATCTAAGTGTATATATAGAACAATCAAACGACATAGTTCTTCATTAGCACAGCAATTATGCATTGGATAACTGCCAGGCATGAAGGAGCAAAAGCAGAGGAATTATATGCATGTACATGAGTACAATGAGCCAGAGGCGACAATCAGATAACACACAATTATAAAATTATCCTTAATTAGAGGAGAAGTGCAAAGCAAAAGTTGTGTCTCTATCCAAAATAAAGAATGCAAACTCTGTGCCTGAATTAAACAACATTGTTATGCTGGAAAAATATGAGGCATATCAAAATATTTAACTTTAGCCGAAATGGTTGGGAAAAATAGACGAGCTTAAAAGAAACAACAATCAGCAGTTTATTTAAAATTGTCATTATCATAGGAGACACAAGAGACATTCTTTTTGTGTAAATAGAGACGCAAGCACAAAGGAGAGAAAAGATAGATTGTCATCATCCCAAATATTTAAATAAGGCAATGGAAGGAATGAATATAAAAAAAATAAAATCTTTTTCTTAAATTGAATGATAAAAATCCGCTAGATCCGCATAATAATTCTTTGATTTTTTCCTATTTCCTTTTTTTCGCATTTCCCTCTGCTTTTGCTGTTGATTTTTCAGTTTTACTTGCTTTTTTTTATTTTTAAATTTTTTGAGTGTGTTTTTAAGGAAGTTATGGATAAGATGAAAAGGAATGGAAGTTGTTTTTGGGGAAAATTGTCTGTTGTGGGATACTGTCTTGGAGCTCTTTAATCGAGTTGTTCAAAATACTTTTGATAACAATAAGGATCTTTAGGATTAGATTATTTAGTCTTTAATATTTTTGGAAACTTACTGCATATAAAACTAGACGTTAATAAAATGTTTCTTAGAGTTTTTGGCTTAGTTTTTTTTATATGTTATAGCAACTGGTATGTTTGAACAGGAATAAGCCTTAACAACATTGTTGTGGGATTCAGGTTGTGTAGCCTAGTCTTAAATTTATGCACAATGCAACTTTAATTAAACAAAAATCCATTCCATTTATGCAGTTCAAAAACTTAATTTGAAGAAAACAATTGTTTTCAAATAATGATTGGATTCGAATCCCATAAAAAAATTGAAATTTATATATTTCTTTATAAAAATTAATTGAGCCAATTTTTTTGAATAAAAAGATTGGTGTTTAAAATGCGTCCACATCACCACAACAATCCCCACCCCAACTCATCTTCATATTTTTTTTGCTTTTTGCCATCTCGATCGCTTCTTTAGCTACTTATTCGTTTTATTTTATCTCTATTAAATATATAAAAATACTTTACTTTACAATAATGCTACAGCAAGGAGTCTATAAAGTTAATACACATTGAAAGGAATGATAGTAAAGGAAAGAAGTTTATGGCTTATTTTCTTCCATCTCTCCCATCCATCGACTTCTCTTTTTCGTCTACTTTTCTCAAAATCCCATTAAATTAGAATCTTTTGTTAAAAATCTCATCTCATAATAACAGTCAGTCAGTCATCCAGTTAGTCAGTGAGTAAAGTAAGTAGATAAACGTAAAAACTGACATCCTATATTATCTCTTATTGTTTCGTTTTGATGGAATTGCGATGTTCTTTTGAATCTTTTTTGGAGAGGAGATTGCTGTTGGATGGGATATTGTGGGGCGGGTGTGTTAAGGAGGTTTGAGGATGATTATAGATTTAAATTCAAGTTTTTGAACATTTTTGGACGAAGTAGCTTCTTTTTATGACTGATTAGAATAGGAATTGAACCTACAACCATTTTGGGTTACTAACATTTAAACATCAAGTTGAAATCTATGTTTTAATCTGATTATCGTCCATATTAAGCATTTTAAAGACAAATCAACCATCAGTTGCTAGTTTAGTGCTAAATCATCAACAGCAAGTCACAATCAAGCCCAACAACACCTTTAGATTCAAAATAATCCATCATATCCAGTAAAATCAATCAAATTCATCAACAAATATAAAAAACTTTAATTAATCTTCAAAACTCCACCAACAACCTAATCAAAAACATCCACAAGAACCCAGAATGATAATCATCATTCCAACTTGATGATGGAATAAAAAAAGAGATAAAATTGTTTTCTCGAGTAGCAAATGTGTGTGGGTGTGGGATTTAATCTTGTAATCTGTATGCAAATTAATGCCTTTTTCAAAACTTTCCATTTTCAATCTAGCTGTAACAAAAGAGAACTCAACAATAAAGACGATGATGATGATAATACAGTCGTAGCTTAAGTTAGTCAAAATAGAATATTAATTAAGTATTACCTTTATGATGCCTAAGATGATGTTGTCCATTGCAGCATGGCTGCTCAAAATAACTACTAAATGTATTCTCATAATCCGCAAGCACCGTCGTATTATCCAACAGGAATAAGAAAATGAATATAACACTGACACTCGATAAATAAGACATTTTAAACTTATTCTTCATCTGCTGCTTCAACATTTATTATGTTATTATCTCCTATTCTTTATTTTGCTTCTTCTTTATGTATTTTTTTATGTATTCCAACTTCTTTAACGCCTAATTCGATAATATTAACTCCGTAAAGGCGAAATGTACACACTTATACAGCCACAAATGATTCTTATGTCTTCATTCAATTATTAACATTTTTTTTGGTTATTATTTACTCATTTCGGTGCTACTCTTTCATATTATTCTTGTATCACAACACATGCGAGACTTTCCGAGAAATTTTTATTGCTAAATTTTCTGTTATGGGATGAAAAGGAGGAGTTGTTGTAATAATTCTTTTTTTTGACTCTGTCTCTCGTAACGAGAGCAAAATTTGGGTAAGGAAATATGGTGACATTTATGGTTGAGAGAAGGCGCATAGAATCGACCGAGAGCTGTGATTGTGCAAGGGTTCTTGATGTTTGTGAAGAAATAGGGAACTGAGAATTCACGGCTACCAAACTGTCATCTTATAGCTCTTTCTTTAAATATGATTATTACACTAAGCCCTAGATCAGATTGTCCCAAATCTAAATTATCCTTTAGTTCTATAGTCTGCAATCGGACTCACCAGGCGCGTAGCCAGTGGGTAGATTTGGGGGACAATTCCCCCTTCGTCTTGAGAAATTTCTTCATTTTGCTAGTGTTTTTATGAAAAACTCAACTCCCCCCCCCCCCCCCCAAAAGTTTTCGAAAAAAAAAATTTGTGTCCCCCCCTCTTCAAATTCCTGGAACTCACATTTTGACCAGGTCTTGAACATAGAACAGAGGGATAAAGTGGCATAGAAATGGTTTTTGTCGAGAAGACCCTGTCGTCCCCTACTTCACTGAATGTAAAGTCAGACGAACTGTCAAATTAAAAGATGCAAAGGATAGAAAGATGCTAAAAGACAGCAGTGAACCAGTAGCCCCGAAAACTTAACCCTGCCATACAGACAAAGTGCGCACAATTAGATTAAAGCCGCCCAGACAGACATGCAGACATTTAATCCACAGACAACAAGTCCCTTACAGATCATGAAAATCACGTTAAAAACCATTCAAAGATGAAAACTACAAAAGCATGTGGTGTCAAATCAATATCAGATTCAAATGCGATGAAATTTAAGACTAAAAATATGTTTTGTGTATATCTCTTTTTTTCCGAGAGCATCCAAGAGAATATTCTGTGTGTTGGTCACTTTTTCTTCATTCCTTTCTCATTTATGAGCTGCCTTTTATGTGTTCATTCTTTCAATGGAATATAAAAAAAAACCGTCAATACAACGATGCACGTATAAAACGAGTTTTAAAGAATGTTGAACTTTTTTTTTGAATGTAATGAAGCAATTCTGTTTCTTTCTTTTCTTTTCTTATTGCCACAAGCTAACTCTTCGCTACTTTTTCCCTTTATTTGAAACTAAAATTATATATACTGATGATTGGTTTTTGATAAATTTTGTTTCTAAAAAAGAATATACACAATTCTGCTCTTTTTATGGTGTGTACATGTAACGACAGAAACCTTTTTTTTTGTGTGGAATGAAAGTAACAAAAATTGAGCATTTCAATGCTCAACACTATAAAGTTACAGAGATTGTTTTTATTCTGTTGCTGTCTGTTACTTCTAGGTATGAAACTCAAAACTTTGAATTTAATTTTTAAAATATGTAAATTTTTATGAGGGAAGGCAACTATTAAAGAGATCTGGTATGTTGGGTTTACTATTGCAATTCATACAAAAATTGTGGCTAGTTATTATTTTCAATTTTGGTTATTTTGATTCAATTTTTAAGCAATTTTCGTTTATTCCTCTTTGAATTAATTTTTGAAAATATAAGCTGTAGTTGGAACAGAATCTAAGGTATCGAGCAGTATGTTGGTTAATCTGTCAGTTTGAGAGTAATGCTTCATAAATAAGCGGACACTTTTAGGTTGACAATACCACATTTTGAACAAAGTCCCGCTTAAAATCCTAATTGTCCTGCTTTTTCGAATCTATTTTTATTGGAAAATGCTTAAAAATGCTTGGTTTGTTCACTCTTTTAGAACTGAAATCAGGAAATGTCCAGCTTTTTAATCAAAAATTTGCAAAAACCCTTAAACGGACTGGCTTCTAATGATAGGCAAAGTGGCTAAGCAATAAACCGAATTTTTATCAATATCGTTGAAGAAACGTGTGTTCGATTCCCACCAGAGACTAATTTCTTAATTAAAGAATAAATTCAAAGTGAAACAAACATGAATTTTTGTGGTAGGAAGGCCTATAGTGTAACCTTTTAAGAATCCATTTGTAGTCATGTGGAGTTTGAAGTTTAAATGGATTTCTAAAGAACTTCGCATCTTTCGACTTCATCATATGAATTTCAAGATAATGCTTCATATAAGGACATCATGGAAAGCCAATAAAATCAATGATCTTAGCCATTTCATCCTAGTCATCCTAATTCAACAGAAACACTTACTTTAAAATTTGAAAGTTCAAATCAGAACATCCACATCAAGATCTAATCTCTATTTACCCATTTAAATTCCATTCATTGTGAGAATATATTTTTTTTCCCTACTTATTCCTCTCAAGACACTCATCAGAGAATGATTTAAGATCTCAGAAATATTGCGGTCGTAAAATTAAAAAAAAAAGTTATGTTCTGATGATGAAACTGACTGCACGTCTTTGAACTGTTGCAGCATGTGAATTAAGATATCAAATTTTTTTTCTTCTTTTCTTCAACGTTAAAATAAATTCAGATGGAAAAATAATCTCAGCAAATGTGAATAGAAATGAACTAATTATGGATTTTTGAATATAGATTCGAGCTTAATATTGAAAAAATTTAAATTTATTCCGAATATTTTAACACTACAGCTATCGTTTGTTATGATTATGTCTAAATTGTATTTGACACAGCCAAGTGTTGTCATTTAGATATTTGTTTTAGCTCAGGTAAAGATTTTTTTCTGTGATTTTAGGATTCTTTTTATGGTCAGGTATACAAAGATGAAGAGAATAGACTGCTTAGTGTCGGTTATTGAGGATATTATTGAGTAAATATGTGATTAGCATATATTGTGCAGGAGTCAGGTATAGGGGCTGTATTGAATGTTGGATATTGGATGTTCTTGTATTTTTGAGAACTATATTGAAGCTTAATGGTATGGCAATGGTAGGGTTGAAGCTATGAAGTATGTTTTAGAGGTTTTATCTTCAAATCTCAAAGATTGTGAGGCTGAAGCAACACTTAAACGTTAGTTCTCTGAAGCATCATCTCAAAAACAACGATGAGCATTAATCGAGACCATGATGGTGGAAAATAAGATTTGAACCTTCAGAACCTTCAGAAGATAAAGCTTGAATTCATATGAATTTAATCTTGGCAAAACTAGTGTCTAGATCAGCGTTTTTTATGACACGGCACCCCTCAATAGTAAGCTATGACCAAAACTGCACGTCATACGGTTCGTAGGTATAAACTAGTGTGCCGTGGCACATGAGCTTGCCATCATAGATCTAGATGTATGGCAATAGGATTCTGACAAAGCCAAGTCTAAGATATATTGTCTTACACTCTTAAGCCACGATCATATGACTACCATTGCCGCAAATTGCCGCATTTTAAAAAAAATATTAACTTAAAAATCCATTAAATCATTTATTTATTTATGCAATAAAAGACCTCCCGCAGTATTTTTCCACATTTTGTGCTAAAATCAAATAAAAACTCTATTCAGTTCTCGCAACCGGCAGAGAATGTTATGAAAATAAATATAGTTGTGTAAAGCTATAGAAATATAATAAAATTGAATTGAAATTATTTCTGATATTTAATGCAATTTAGTTTAGAGAGTTTAGTTCAATTTCTCATAAGATTTAACTTCTTTTTCTAAAATGACACATTTCTATGTCAAGACTAGCGGCCCTACTCGGTGTGGCATACCTAAACTGTACCTTAGATAAGTTTCTAGGCTCACTTGAACTCGTTTAACTTAGAATTAGAAATCTAGGGTTTAAATTGACTAGACTGCTACATTTTTAAACTTCCTCGAACTAGTTCACAGCTCAAAGTTGATTTAAATATTGTCAAATTTTCATAGAAAACAGCCGAAGAGAGTCGCCTCAAGTTCATAAAAAATCAATGTAGTTTTCAAGCTACATATAGCTCCATCCTCAATCCCATCAAATTTTACAACACAAATCACAGAAAAAAAAATCTATAAAAAAATCTCCAAACCACTTTTTGTTCCATCACAAAAAAAAGGTTTCCTCTAAAAAAAATTGGCAAAACCAAAAAGTGTAAAAATATTTCATGTGGCATTTCCTATCTGCTGTGTTATTATTATTGTTCAAAAAAACTTGATTCACCCTGAAACCCAAGCAGAAAAAAGAGCATTTGAGTCACACGTCGAGCACAAAATTATGAATTCTTCTTGGAAATTGTCAGTAGAAATTGTCGTATGTTATTTAGAACTTTACACACAGAAAAAGATGTGATGAAAAAAATAAAATTCAAATTGTATATTTTTTTCGCCTATTTTTAGCAAAAATAAAATAAATTTTTCCTTCTCGTATGAATTTTTCTTCTCTCGGTCGTCTCTAACCAAAAAAAATTTCACCATTTATATTCAAGACATTAAAATTCAAGCACCTTTTTATTCACACTATAATAATTCAGACATTTTTTTCCATTCTTTCATTCTATAGCAATTTCACTCTTATTTTATTTTTTATATATATATTTTTTTTATTATTATTTTCACTCATATATATGAAATTTTTTACAGTTGAGCAAACTTATGTGTGTGAAATGATAAATATAAAAATAAAAACTATTCACTTTTACACGATATTTATGACAGAAAGCCCCTTTTAATCCTCAATTAAAATCCATGAATCTCCAAACTTAATTTTTCTCTCAATTTAATATTTTTTTTTTATTCGACATGCGACACGACTCGAACTGCATGAGTCACAAAACACCAAAAAGAGGGTCTTTCACGTCCTTCCGAGA